TAAAGTATATTCCATTGCGTGTCCTAATTCCCCGCCCATAAAACCCGATAACCATCGTTTTTTGTAGGAAAACAAGCCGGTTGTAGGGATTAATGAGTGGGGCTACATAAGCTACTGTTGCCGGTTTTGGTTCGTGTTACTTGTAGGATTTAGGCTAAGCTTAAAGCTACGGTTTAGTTTTATGTTTAGTTTTTATGTAATCGTAGTGGCGTATTGCTTTGTGGGTAAGGTAAGACACTTAAAAGATTTGGAATTTCGTAGAAAATTAAATGTATACAGCATGCATGTTGCGCTATAAGATAGCTTTATTGGGGGGGTTGATTTCGTTGGTACCGTTCTCACAGACATCGGGGATAGCGATTAACAAGTAGTTTAGAGTGGTGTTGTTCAGAGTTGCCGCTTTGAAGAGCTACAGTGCGATCTGGGCACTAATTTCGAGTAAGGTGGCTGCTTTATCCACATCCTCCAGCTGCTAAACCCCTCAGCGCAATAAAGTTTGAGCGAGAAATAGCGAAACCGAGCCTGGTGCGACTGCATTTCTGACCTCCTCCTCCTCCTCTTCCTCCTCCCCCCCTCTTATTAAAGTATACAATATCAGGTAGCAAGCGAACGTTAAATAGTTCAGACGAGCCACATCACGTGTCTGCTGTTATGACAGTCGGGCGCATGATACTGTCTGTTTATCCTCCGGTGCTTTTTCATCGAATTGACGACAGTGTAGACGCCAAAAAATTTACCACTTAGCCTGGCCGTTGACTGGACTGGTCAATACGCCTGTAGTTTACCGACAGCCTTGATGGCCCGGCCGCGCTAGTTGTGGGGTTCGCCGACCGCCTTCCCCGCCCCCCTCGCTTTGTTTGACCTACTGACATGGTGTTTACTCTTTTCAGTTGGCTGAGGATACCGCTCGTATACCATGCCTCCTTTAGGGTAGATCTACGAACGCCATTTTTCACGCGACTCTGAACGCATCCGATCACCCTCAACAGGATGGGCATGCATGCGTGCGTGCGTGACTTTGTGGCACAGTGTTTTGAGCGTCCGCTGTTTTTCCGGTCGGCAAGTCGGATGGGGTATGGGGAGGACTGATTGTCCAAAGTTAAAAATGGTCATCACAGTCTCCCTGGTTTTTATGGGGTAACAACTCTCGAGGATGGCGTCTTTGGATCGGTAGGACCGTAAACAACTAGGGCTTCTTGGCTGGGCTTTGTCCGCCCATGCGGCTCTGTCAACGTCCTTAGGCCTCAGCCCCAGATATCTGAACGACCCAGTCGAGGTTTTCCTAATCTAGACTATGTCCACTGGCATTGGCCACTCGATCCTGTTCCTTTCTGTGTCTGTACAGAACTATGATCTTGCTGTTTTTGTCTTCTGTTTTCTGCTCGATTCTCCCTATTCGTTTAAAAATGGTAACTGTTTTGCGCCTCGCATGAAATTGTGCTGTGCAGTGAGGCACGTGCGCCTTCTTCCAACAAAATTTCTGCCCTTAGTTTCCTCGCTTTTAGTTGCTGTCAATTCATTCTCCAGTTACCCCTCCCACCCTCCCTCAGGGTGCTCATTAGTCGAGATTTTTTTCCACTTCTGACGTACCATCTAAGCTGCACTTAATGTAACACCATGTATGTCTGGTAAGTGCGCATTTGCGTTACTGAAATGGTCAGATCAGTGAAACGGCATTCCCATGTGTCTTACCAAATTCTCAAACGCCACCAGACACACGCGAGGTCCTAATCAAAGTAGTGGACGTTTTTTTGTAAATGCTCGATGAGCCGAGAAACGAGCTCGTGCCCCGGATATAACCGGCAATAGCACTATAACCAGCTACGATTAGCGCAGTTTTCCGCGTTTAAAACAACCGGAGAACAGGAGATACTGAGGAGGAGAACGCAGTCATTTATAAATTGTCAGATCAGGACTTGGATTGCGTGTGATAGGAACGTCAACGACGGATATAATAAAGGAATTTACTACAAAGGTAGCGAAAATTCGATTCCCAGGTGGTAAGTCAGAAGGAGAAAGGACGTTCACCGGGAGAGGTATATTTGTCGTCTGACCTTTCGAATAGTTATCTCGACTATCATCTTCAGAGAATGAATCCTCTGGCTCCTGGCTCTCGATATATGCCGCTC